GAGGGGAGGCTGCCTGACCGTCTGCCTGGTCCTGGCGCCGCCTGAGCATCTCCACCGAGCACAGGGCCAGGCCCTTGCTCCCTGAGCAGGATGGGGCTTTGCCAGCAGCAGTGCTCTGGGGAAGGGGTCCCACCAGGCCGCCTTCCCCTCGCCGTGCAGGACGTTGGCTGGCAGCATCAGCCAGGGGCACCTGCGAGGCACAAACACCCCCCTCCCCGCTCCCCCTCCTCCTCTGGGCTGACTGACTGTGCAGCGGCCGAGGATGGGGCTCAACCAGAAACCAGCAGACGCTCTCGTGTCTGGGGGAGCTGATTTCAGCTGCTTAGAGACCCTCGGTCAGCTCTAAATGGCCGTGACAGGGTTTGGCCTGACCCACCTTGCAGAGCCGAAGCAAGGCTAAGCCGTGTGGTTACACATACACACCACAGACACACGTATGTTCTGTATGGCCTAGTATATACATACAGCTAATGCGTCACAAATACCCCTACAGGGGACACCCGACAACAAGTATGCCTACGTAAACTGTCTCCAGCCATGCTTAATTTCATGAAGCCAGCACAGATGTTTAACGTGTGCTGAAGAAGGTGGAAATGGGACGAGGATGTTCTAAGTAAATACATACACACCCATCTATACACACACATACATTCGCCTCTACGCCGTGCACTGGACAAAGAGCGCTACAAGGTGTGAAACCAAGCTCCCCCAAGCTGGGGATTATGGGACTGCTCCCTGACTGTGTAAGCATTGACCACTGAAACGGAAAAGAGATAAAATGGCTGAACAGCGTAAAGAGAGAGGAGAGCCATGACCTTCCCCCCCCCAACCCTGTATCCCCCTTGCTCTCCTCCTTTCCCCGGAGCGGCTAAAGCTGGAGCACCAGCTGCCCGGCCATGGGAGCCCACATGGAGTTTCTGTGGGTGACACTTCTCCCTTCCCTGTCACTTAGGTCGCAGCAAACTTTGGAGCCAGACCGAGCCCGCTGTAGCACGGCTGTTCCACTCCAGTCCAGCAACACGGCTCTGTGCGAGGTCTCCGAGCCTGCAGTGAAGGGGCTCAGCAACAGAATTAAACCCTTTCCTCTTTGCCCCAAAGGTGCAGCCCCCAGCATCCCCGGGGACGGCTCAGAAATGCAACGCCAAGCTGCAGTGTTGCCTCCTGGTCTTACCTGGCGCGGCCACTGCATCCATCAGGACGCTGGCCAGACTCCCGGCTCCACCAAGGGCTCAGCTGCCACCCAGAGACGATGCACTGGGAAAGGCCTCTCCATTCCCACAGAGGTTCCCAGGACAAGACAGCGTCCCGCCCCCCAGACACTCACACACACCAGATGAACGATGGAAACAAGTAGGGCTTTGCTGACACGTCAGCCAACTTGGGCCACTTGTGAGATGCTCTCGTCACTGGCCCGTGCCAAGGAAGGTGATGCTCCCTCTTCCTCAGCTCTTCCCCTCCCACATGGCCAGAGCTCCTGCCCCACACTAACAGGGGAAAGTATCCCAGAACCACCTTGTGCTCCTCCACATCCTCACAACTTCACCCGTCCCGAGCCCCCTCCTGCCCCAGGGCCACCGCACACCTCCCACAGGGAGCCACCGACACCACGGGGAGCTGCCCAGCAGTTGGCCTCTCACCCCAACCTGGCAAGGACGCGGCTGAGCTTAGCAGAAACAGATTCCAGAAGAGCAAGAAGAGGAAGGAACAAGGAGGAAAGGAGAGCTGCAGACAAAACAAAATGCCCATGAGAACTGTCTTTACCGGTAACCCTCACGGTATCTCCTGGAAGCAGTCGGGCGCTGTCTTCTTCTCACATACAGATCTGTGTCTACCGTCTCCTGAACC